CGCCTGTTTTTCTGTAAAATCACAGAAAAAGAGAGCAGCTCGGGTCGAGCAGGCTGCTTCATGCGCGTTCACGCTCAGGCATAGCCCGTAGCATTTGCTATCTGTAGCTTTAGCAGCAGAGAGTGAGGTAGTGCCAACTCAGCGACTTTGTTGCTGTTCCTAACGCCGATGAACCTAGCTACATTTCTGAGGACCCTTAGCTACTTTCTTCTAGATATTTCCTGCAACTTAGCAACAAAATAGCCAATTTCGCTCCGAACCGTTCTTTGAACGTTGTTTCGGCTGTCATCAGGAATATAAATATTAGATACCAAAGATGTCACCGGAGCTATAGCTTACCCAGTAAGTCGGTGGACTCCCGTGCGGAAGACCCGGATTCGAATCTGGATGTGAACATAATTTATTTAGAGTTTATTTTTTACCTTAATGGCATATTTTTTTACAGTAAGATGCCCAAATTTTTATTTGAGACTCGCCGAACGGCATTTAATTCACAGATAAAAAAGATGTGGGTTCAACTTTCATTTTGGAACAATTTTTCAAGCAAGGGAAGGGAATGATCTGAGCATGCAGGACTGACCCTTCTTAAACCTTTGTCGGCTGTGCTGAAGAGAAAGGTACAGAACCAAATTATTTAATTAATTAGCTGTGCGTTCTCCTGTCCTCTGTCCTCCGGGCCACACACACACACACACACAAAGGACTGTCTCAGCTGTTATTTTCGTTAAGGAGTGTGCACGTACAGCATGCGCCCCTCGTGCACGAGCCTACTATTGAAGCTGCCGTTACGCTTTTGGCCTGAGGGGGCAATCGCGAGCATAAAAATTCAAAACTCTGTTAAGTCCCTTTAAGAGATGTCAAAACTACATTTCTCACAAATTCAATGTTATTTTTTACATTTTTCCTTTCTACACAAACACGCAGCCATCAAAGTATCAAACCCTTCCTCAAGGGAAATTCTATTGTAGAAATGTGACGACTCCTCCCAAAGTTTTAATACAAAAGAAAAACGGATACATGTAAATGAAAGCAGACACTCTGTGGCTCTGATTAAAGCCTGGGCCATATCCTGGCATCTTTTGTTTGTTCAGCAGCACTTGGCCCTAAGATTGTTTACTTTTAAACAAAATGTACTGATAGATACTCTGACTGTCCATCCCAACAGCAGCTGAGGGGAGAGGCAGCTGGGCCTTGAGGGATTTTAGGTTTTAGTAGTTTATGTTCTGTGTATCTGACGGCTGGATGGTGGGCTTTTTATTTATTTGAATTCAGTTTTACTTTATTGTTGCAAGTATCAGTGTATCTCCTGCTTCGTTCTCCCTCCACTTATCTTGGTTAAACGTCGTCCTCTGCCCGGACCCATATTGGAGGGGGGTCAAAGAGACCTGAGCTTCTGGGGTTGGATCAAACACGGATGCAGCAGCTGAGAAGAACACAGCTTATGTTTAGCAGCAGATAAGTTGAACTATGAAGATGACTGCGATTGTTTTTTTAAATATCTGGAACAACGCAAAAGAAATGAGTTTGTATCTTCAGTAAACATCTTCTCTCCATCTCCGCTGACAAGCGTGGGTCAAAATCAGCTCCAGTCTTCCTTATAGTAGGAGAGCAAGGAATAAACTCTCAGGCTATAAAAGCTGTTTTTTACATCCGTTTCTCGCCCTAATAGCTAGACTTTTCTCTAAATTAGGTTGGCTTTTGTCCACTAATTTGCTGGTATTTAGCTGTAATTGTGTTTGCTAATCAAACAATAGCCCCCTTTTCCGTGCCCTGTCCTCATCGGCCCCGTGTGATAAACAACTAATTGTGTGGGACACAAACACTGCCTGAGCTAGTGCCACTTGTTGATGAGATAGAGAGGAGGCCTTTGATAAAGCACACTTCATTAGCGGTTCAGCCTCAGGGTTGGTGTTTTTACTGCTGCTCTCACACCACACTTGGTGCTGCTCGGGTCAGAGCCGCGGACCGGTCCGCCTCAGCAGACCGTCACAACAAAGATCCTGGTTCACATGTGGTTCACTGACATGTTTCTGTTCATACTGGAGGGACTGGGCTTGTTTTGGTTCTGACTCATTTTGTCTAAAGAGTCTGTTTGTGCTCGTTTATCTGTTTTATCGTTGCATTGGTCGATAGATTAAATTATGTGAGACTATTTATAGGAGTTGTTCTTTTGGCTCACAGACAGCTCCTCTAGTACTGATGTGAACTAACCAACTCCGTATTGCAGGTCAGCTCTTGTCTAAGAGCTGTGACTTTCTTTCCCCCAGGATTATTGGGTTTTAAAGGAGGAGTCTTTTCTACAGCTGTGGTAAAATCTGCTGAAATTCTGTCAACATATGTAACTCTAAAGGGGCGGTGCTTCACTCAGCTACACATTTAATGCAGGTTTGCTCAGTGGTGATGTTGCACTGTGTCTACATTCTGAGTGGTTGTGTCGTTTCGAGACTTGAATTAAATCAAAAATCTCTTTCTGCTAAAGCAACAATAATCTCAGTCCTGTTTTAGGGTGGCGCTCCAGATTAGAGCTACACTGAATGAGGGATGAGCGAGGACACAAAGCCCCATGAGGATAACGGGTTAATCCATCCAGACCCTCTGAGAACCTACATCCCAATTCAGAGATTACACTTAACTGCTAAGGCACGTGCAATGTTCCTTGAGTTCTGCGCATTCGTTTTCCAGGAAGTAGTCTGTTGCAGCAGCTGAAGGGGACTTTTTGACCCACAGGTTGTCTTCTTCAGCATTGATTTGCTGCTCAGCTCAGTGTTGAGTTCAGGGAGATGCCTGCCTCAGATGACCGGGGTGATGTAGTGCTGGGTGAAACGTGAGACTCGCTCTCAGGAGGCTCGGTGGAGCGTAACGCGGTGTAGACACAACATGTGGTGGAGGTTTTATTCTGACTTCCACTGCAGCTTTTTTCTGTAAAACTGTTTCAGTAATAAGTGCTTAAGATACGTTCAGCCAGCTCTTCATGTTAGCAATCACTCCAGTCACACAGAAGCAGTTCATTGATTTATGTTTCTTCTTTGGTTGGCATAATGTGTCAATCTGGTCAGTAATTAGACGTCAGTGAGGTTGTCTGATCCTCCGTTCAATGCATCTGAACCCAAAACAAGACAAACAGCACACTTCAGGGACAGGGACGGGTGATTTACAGGTAACCAAACGTTGTCCACCTGAGAAGTTATAGTGTGGTGAGAGAAGAACGGTGTGTCCTGCATTTTACACATATACTCCTGTTTCAGCTGGGAAAGAGCGCGTAGCTTGGTTTATTTTACTGACAATCATTCATTATAACACAAACTGTACTCGTGAATGGATTACAGTTACATTTAAACCACAAAATATTTCCCAAGCACAGCCACAGCTGCAGCTCTCCGCTCCCCACAGGGATGGGCCAAATGGTGAGATGTTAGTGTGTGATGATGGGACTTTATTTTGTAACTAAACACTGTCTCATGTAACTTCATAACCCTGGTTGGTTAATGTTTTTGATTTAAATAAGTGAACGATTCAAAGGCTAACTGCTAATTAAGTATTTGCAAAATATTTGCTATTTTTACTCAACTAAAGAAGCATCGGTTCTAGTTTTGGGATCTGAAAAAGATTTAGATTGTGTCATGTGTAATTAACAAAAAATATATACTTCTGAAAATTTTGATTCTGAAGGTAAAACTTCTTAATGGATAGTGGGTTATTGCTAGAGGGAGTTAGCACTAAGCGACTTTAGCTAAATGTCTGTAAATGTAGACTGAGATTTATCTCAGGTTGGTTAGCTGTGGTGGCCATCTGGGATCAGGCTAACTCCACAAGCTCATAAGTTGTAGATGTTCATCCAGTGAGAACAAGATCTGAGAGTGTTTCTGGTTCAGCGATTCATGGGGCATTCTACTAGCATAGAAATCTAGTAACAACTGATTAGCTCTGCAGGTCGGTCTAGCCACCCTCCATTGTAGCCTCACCAGGTCTGACAGTGGCCTGAACAGCTTTTGGAGAAAAACTACAATGATGGTGTCTCTGCAGGAATGGTGCTTGTTTGAAACATCGTTGGCATCAACTTTGGATTATTTAGACTTGGGCTTTTCTTTGAGAGATGAGCGGCTAGAGGTAGTTAAGTCATTTACTTGCCACCATTATTTTGTCCATCCATTCATTTCCAGCCGCTTATCTGGAATCGGGTCGCAGGGGCAGCAGCCTAAGCCGAGAGGTCCAGACTTCCCTCTTCCCAGCTTCTTGGCCCAGCTCCTCTGGGGGAATCCCAAGGCGTTCCCTGGCCAGCCGAGAGACATAGCCCTTCCAGCGTGTCCTGGGTCTTCCTTTAGGTCTCCTCCCAGTTGGACGTGCCTGGAAAACCTCACCAGTGAGGCGTCAAGGAGTCATCCTGACCAGATGCCTGAGACACCTCAACTATCTCCTCTCAACGTGGAAGAGCAGCGGGTCTACTCCGAGCCCCTCCCTTTCTGACCGAGCTTCTTACCCTATCTCTAAGGGAGAGCCCAGCAGCTACCCTGTGGAGAAAACTCATTTCAGCCGCTTGTATCCGTGATCTCATTCTTTCAGGCACTACCCAAAGCTCGTGACCATAGGTGAGGGTAGGAACGTAGATCGACCGATAAATTGAGAGCTTTGCCCTCAGGCTTATCTCTCTTCACAGTGACAGATCGGTGCAACGCCCGCATTACTGCAGATGCATCACCAATCCATCTGTCGATCTCACGCTCCAGCTTTTCCCCCGAGATACAAACTCCTCTACTTGAGGCAGGACCTCATCCCTGACCCGGAGAAGGCAGTCTACCCTTTTCTGACGCTCGGATTCAGAGTAGCTGATTCTCATCCCAGCTGCTTCTGATGAGAATCAGCTATTACTATGTCTTGATTCATTTTGAACAATGTAGATAGCCTAATTTTGTTTATTTTTATAACTAATTGTCCTTGAAGTGTCATGTTTTCACCTCGTTGTCTCGTCCCTCACTGTCTCCTGGTTTTGTGGTCTCTTCCAGGTTGGATTCTGTCCCTTCTGTCATCCCGCTGACGTCCACCTCCCACCCTGGCCGCAGGGCTGACAGACCGCCCTACCCCACCTCACTTGGAGACACCAGCACCTACAGCATCTGAATGCTCCACCTATAGGTCCATCATAAGGATCTCACAGGGGTTCCACCCCTCCCACCTCACCGTAACCGCCCAGGAGTCCCGGGGGCTCCGCCATATTTCGCTGACTGACCCCTCCCAACCAGCGAATGTCAAGTGTGCTTCTGAGGGCGGGGCTTGCCTCAGTCTCTCCTGATTGGCTGCTGGATGGAATTGAGGTGAATGGAACACATGCCCAAGGAGCAGGACTCTAACCCATCAGAGGGAGAAGAGAAACAGTGAGTTTAAAGTCTTCTGGACCTTGTTTCTCTGCTTTGCAACCCTTGGTGTGAGTTACGTCCTGTCTTTAAACTAACTTCTCATAATGTTGAACATCACTAAACTTAGAACTCAAAATTTTCTCTGTTTTTGCCAGAACAAAGCATTCTTGTCTCTTCAACTGTTTTCAGAGGTCTGTAGCTTCCCCAGGCTCCGGCGTTTCAGCCATCACTCTGGTTCTTGAGAGGCCGACCTCTTCAGGCTTGCCCGAGCACACACAAACATGGCCCTGTTTCAGCCCCTTCACATTAATGAAAACATAATATTAGTGGACTGGAGGCGCCCCCTCGTAGAGCCGTGAGGAAGGCAGTGGGGCCTCTGAATGGAAGGAACTTGTGTGGAAGGGTTATCAGTCAAAATCAGACCACTTTGGCTTCAAATAAGGATTTCCCTAAAATGAGTTAAATCTGGAAATACTTGAAGGTGTCAATCATGCTGTAAAGGGTCATTTCTACCAGGATGGCTGTGAGCTTTAAATTGTAAACCTGGAAGGGCTTTAGAAATCTGTGCAGTTGGTATTTTTACTAAAATTAACACTGCAGGAAGTTTATTTATCTTGCTGCAAAGTTTTTACTGCTAGAAAGATAAGAACCCTGCATTTTTGCATCATAGCCATCCAGTCTAAAAACAAACAGACATCTGTAGATTTCTTTCTTGAAACAAATCAAATCAGAGGATAGTGGTAGCCCTCGGGATTCGAAATGCGATCATTTCAGTGGATCTCTGACCCTGGGTATCATGATGATAATAAAAGCGGTTTGGGTTTATTAGCGTAGACGGACTGGCTGGGTGCCTGCGCTGTAATGCAGCATCATATTCCCCTCTGCTGTGTGAAGCTCGGATACATTCTCAGCTCACACGGACACCTGTCGGGGGATTACCGGCTCTCCCGGGGGGGAGGGATAGTTGGTTTCATGCTTTTGGAACTCAGTGCTTCACACTTTTCTTCTTTTGTCATGTTCAAGTGCAAACCGGCTCATTTTCTTCCCCAGCACCAGTCGTTTTCCAGCTGTAACGCTCATTAGAGATAAGGAAGAGCCCAAAGCTGTAGGCTTCAGAAGTTTTAGAGGTGACTGTTTTCCTTTAGAGTGGTGTGTTCTGCAGGAATATGGTTTTATATTCATACAGGTTTTCTGAAATGATGCTTTGCTTTTTTCCCATAATTGTGAATAATTAGCTGTTTGACACCTAAACAAACAGATTTCACACCGTTTTCAACCCTATTTTTGAAGCTTTTTGAAGCTTCATGGAGAATTTACGTCACGTCGGATCACACCTTGCATCACTTCTCCTACTGTGCCTTCACACCTGATGTAAGACCACTTTCACTGAGCTGCAACAACAGCAGCAAAGACCTTTTAGTGTGTGGCTTTCATTTAGAGCTCAAATAGTGCTTTTTAGTGCTTTGCATTTGCACAAGAGAGGATCACGCTTCATGGCCTTGATTGCTGGTATTTGTGCTGGTTTGGTTAACACATTTAAACCTAACTGTGAATAAAAAGAGGAAAAGAAACTATATTTTAATGTTTGATGCTTATTATCTTCTGCTTGAATTTTCATGTTTTTAGAATGAAATCTCATGTGAATATTTTACGGAAATGCACGACATAAACCAGTCAGAAAATGGTTGTTTCATATATTTCAAAGTGAATGAAAGCTGAATTTGTTACATTAATCTGTGTGTAATAGTTTGTAACTTAACAGATAAGACTCTTTGGTCTACAAATTAAACTTAGGTTTGATCTAAGTCTCAGTCCTTTTCCTACACCAGTAGTTTAAGTTGGTGATGTCATACAGCTCAAGTTTAAACCCTAAAAAGTCACTTTAATCTCATCTTTCGTTTATTGTTGCATTAATTATACAATAAATCTTTAGTAGTTAAAGTGTAATTCTTTGTAAAAGATCATTCCTAAATGGTTTCAGTCCAGAAATCGAGCTAGCGGCTAGCTGGGTCACAGCTAAGGCCAAAGCAACAATCTCCTAACTTATTGTATAGGACCTTCAGGTTGCTAAACCTGGCAGAAATGTTGAGCTGCTTCCAAGATTAGATTTATTTCATGAATCTAAATATATAAAGGGTTTGTTTTAAGACAGCATCAGTTCTCTTTAGATTTAGTCTGCTCATATCCAAAACAAACTGTCAGGACTCAGGTATCTCCCGGCTGACCTTCGGACCACAACTCCCGACATGCCCCTCGTGGGGAGCTCCCAGCGTGCTCCTCGCGGGGATTCCCTCCACGTCACAGCCAAGCAAGGCTATATATGGAAGACGCCGTGACCGGCTTCTCATCTCAGTCATCGTTTCTTCCTCACAGAGGAATAATAAAACTGTTAAACGTCTCACCTTGTTCGTCTCCTTCATCCAGTCTGATCAGCCTGACAGGATGACTGAGATCCGAGTAGATTCGACGGAGATCGATCGTCTCCGCCACGAGAACGTGCAGCTGCGTTCCATGGTAGATCAGCTCAACACCAAGGTGAACTCCTTGTCCGACCACACCCTGCGTCTATCCACGGCTCTCACGGCTCTCCAACAACAGGCAAACGATCAGCAGCAACAGATCGCTGCACTCCAGCAGCCAACCCGCTCTGCTCCTAGGGAGGAGCCCCACTTCAGCCTGCCGGAGAGGTGGAACGGGGAGACGGGGAGCCCCAATGGTCTGCTCGCCACGCTGGACATGCAGTTCGAGTGCCAACCTGGACGCTACCCATCTGCGCGCTCCCGAGTGGCACATCTCACCTCCCTGCTCTCCAGACGCGCCGCGGAGTGGGCTGCTGCGCTTTACAATTCCAAATCCCCTGCCTGCAACGACTATGCTGCGTTTGTGTCCGCTCTCCGGAAGACCTTTGTTCCCCCCAGCAGCGAAGTGGGAGCAGAGACACGCCTTCTCAAACTCCGCCAGCGAGAACGCTCGGTGTGCGCTTATGCGTCGGAGTTTCGCACCATCTCCGCCAAGCTGCAGTGGAATGACTCCGCTCTGTGGGCCGCCTTCCTGGAGGGGCTGGCACTCTACATCCGTGATGAGTTGGCGGGAAGGGAGCTGCCTCAGACCCTGGATGAGGTGGTTAATCTGGCGCTGCGCATCGACCAGCGGGTTCTGGTTCGACCCAGGTTATCCACGCATCCACCCAGGACGCCGGTGCCTCGCCCTCGTTCACCCACGCCAGCTCCTGTACCCATGCTGGCGGAGGAGCCCATGCAGCTCGGCCACCTTCCCCCCGAGGAGAGACAACGACGGTGGCGCGAGGGCCTCTGTGCCTACTGTGGCTCTCCCGACCACCGACGCCTGGACTGCCCGCTACGATCGGAAAACGGGGGGCCCCACTGAGTATTGGGGTCGCTCAGTCTGGGTCTTCTTCTACCCCTGTCGCTACTAACCGTCTCCTTATTCCTGTCACCCTCCTCCATGGTGAGGCCTCACTCCACGTAAACGCATTGGTGGACTCGGGGGCCGCGGACAATTTCATGGACCTAGATCTGGCAAAACGCCTACGGATCCCCCTACAGCCCCTGGAGAGAGTTATACCAGTGACCTCGGTGGACGGTAGGCCTCTCCAACCCTACCCAGTCCGAGACCGAACCCAGTCACTCCGTATGATCACCCAAGGCCACCAGGAGACCCTCCATTTCCTGGTCATTTCTGCTCCCTCTTCTCCTCTAATCCTGGGGTTCCCCTGGCTCCGTCTCCACGACCCTCATATTTCCTGGTCCCAGAACCGCCTGCTGGGCTGGGGGACCTCGTGCCAGACCCACCTCGTTCCTCCTCCATCCTCGGTGGGTCTTCCGGACGGGGGCCCCGGCTCCACCGTGCCCCACCTGCCGCTGCCCTATCGGGACCTGGCCGCGGTGTTCGACAAGCGGCGCGCCACCTCCCTGCCACCTCACCGGCCATATGATATGGAGATCAAGCTGCTACCCGGAACCAGTCCTCCCCGCGGGCGCCTTTTCTCTCTCTCGCGCCTCCCGAGACCAAAGCGATGGAAGAATACATCGCCCAGGCCCTCCAGCAGGGGTTCATCCGACCCTCCTCCTCTCCGGGTGCCGCTGGCTTCTTCTTCGTGAAGAAAAAGGAAGGCGATCTTCGCCCCTGCATAGACTATCGGGGTCTGAACAAGATCACGGTCAAGGATCGCCATCCTCTGCCGCTCCTCACTACCGCTCTGGATGCCATCTCCCAGGCACGGATCTTTACGAAACTGGATCTCCGGAGCGCCTACAATCTGGTCCGTATAAAGGCCGGGGATGAGTGGAAGACCGCGTTCATAACACCCACCGGCCACTGGGAGTACCTGGTTATGCCCTTCGGACTATGCAATAGCCCTGCTGTCTTCCAACGTCTCATTAATGATGTCCTCCGCGACATGCTGGGACGGTGGGTGTTCGCCTATCTGGACGATATACTGATCTACTCCAAATCCGAGGCCGAACACATCCATCATGCTTGCGCCGTCCTGACCCGGCTCCTGGACCACAACCTGTACTGTAAACCCGAGAAATGCTCCTTCCATCAGCAGTCCATATCCTTCCTGGGCTACATGATCTCGGACGAAGGGATAACCATGGACCCTCAGAAAATCCAGGCGGTGAAGGACTGGCCCTTGCCAACCAGCCTGAAACAACTGCAGAGTTTTCTGGGTTTCTGCAACTTTTACCGCCGTTTTATAAAGAACTATAGCACCCTCGTAGCCCCTCTCACCTCTCTCACTCGACCAGGCTCCCCTGGCCAGCTGTTTCGTCTAACTCCCGACGCCATTCGGGCCTTCCGCCACCTGGTCACCCGCTTTACCTCGGCCCCGATCCTCCGCCATCCAGATCCTGCTGTTCCCTTTGTGGTCGAGGTCGACGCCTCTGACGTCGGCGCCGGCGCCATCCTGTCTCAAGGCGGGCCCGACGACAGGCTCCATCCCTGTGCCTACTTCTCCAGGAAGTTTTCCACCACCCAGCAGAAGTACGGTGTGG